TGCCACACTCTGCCTGCAGCGAGCTGGTGTCCTAGTGCCACACTCTGAGCTGGTGTCCTAGTGCCACACTCTGCCTGCAGCGAGCTGGTGTCATAGTGCCACACTCTGAGCTGGTGTCATAGTGCCACACTCTGAGCTGGTGTCCTAGTGCCACACTCTGAGCTGGTGTCCTAGTTAGTGCCACACTCCGAGCTGGTGTCCTAGTTAGTGCCACACTCTGCTGGATTGCTGGAGTCTTTAGATAATCTGATTTTCATTTCTGAAACCTCGACACTAAGAAGTCTGAACTGATCTACATTCCACCTGCAGTGCCTGAGTTCCATCCTTACGCTCACCAGTCAACATTTGCTATTTTTTATAATAGTGATTTTGAATTAGGTATCAAGTAATAGGAAGCAAAGAAATCAAATTACTTGCTTCAAAATGGCATAATATATAGATTAAAAAAAAAGCAGCTTCTACAAACTCTACCAAAAGAAATAGATAAAGGAATTCAGCAAAACTGAAGGATATAAAATCCTTCATAATCCAACATAAAAGCCAGCCGTATTGTACACACTAGTAATGAACTTACTCAAAAGACATGAGTAGGTGCTGTTAGCACGCTATAAACAACAGCGGCAACGCTGAAGCAGAAGAAGATAAGAGAAATGCTTTGGGATAAGTCAGGTATGGAAGTGCAAGCCCATAGCCCCAGTTACTTGGGATGCTGAGGCAGCAGGATGGATCAAACCTGGGAATTCAGGGCCAGCAGCAAACCAACCAACCAACCCAAAATGCCTAGAAATAAATTTAAGCAAAGAAGTAACAAGTCCTATAATGAAAATTGCAAAACACTGACAAAAACACTTGAAGATCCTACGTGCACATACAAGGGAAAGAGCATGTATGCTCGTGGACTGTGAGAATTGATATATTTAAAATGTCTATACTACCCTAAGTAGCTTATAGATTCAATGAGGTTTCCACCCGAACACCAATGGCATTCTTATAGAAACAGGAAAAGTAAGTTCTATGTTTACTAAGTGCTTAGCAATTGCTGACTAAATGACTAGCACGTTTGCTCCTGTTAAAACTCATTAGACATAGGTATTATTAGAAATAACCAGCACATCATTCCCAGCAGATGATCGTTTAGTATTGAACCTGAACATGAAGGCATCTGAGGAGTGAGTGGGGTGATGAGCAATCCTCACTGCTCTGAGCCCTTGTCGCAGGGCTTGCTCTCATCGAGGCTGCTCAAGGAAGGGCCGTGGGACTGGGACTCCCATTCTGTACAGTGCCACCCCTCGCTCTCAACACACACATATGCACACACACTCGGCCCTGAAAGAGGAGCAGACCCATGGTGTAAGCCCTGCAGTTGAACACCATCGAAACAGCAGGCACTGTCCAAGCCATGTGCAACTTTTGAAGCTTGACTTCTAGGATTTTCTCAGCATCAAAATGCAAGTATGCAAATAACAGGCAGGAAACACGCCCAACTCTAGAATGACTCACTGACATTAGCTACCAGGGAGGCCGGGGAGCAAAACGCAGGCCAAGATCCAACACAGATAACACCTTTAGCAATAAGTGATGGGAGACAATAGTCAACCATTTATTTTGTTCCAAAGATAAAGCTTAGCATACTTATTGTGTGATTAAAAAGCTCATGTGTCATGGATTGTTTATCAAGGAATACAACAAAATGGTTATTTATTCTAGGAAAATACAACACAAAATGACCAAAACATTTTCTTGTTTTAAAATAACAAAATTTCCAAGCCAAAAAAAAATCCACATTTTAAACAGAAAAGAGATAACAAATTCCTAGAATCTTCTAGCACTAATTTCTTCACCAAATAGAAATTTCTAGGTCAATATTTCTTAACAGTTATGATGGGGGTAAGGCTCCTCTGGATGCATTTTCCCCCTGAAGAGGTTGATTTTTAACACCATTGACCACTGACTGCCCCAGAATCTCTCCTAAGCCTCTTCTTCTTTTTCTGACTCAGTGGCATGGAACATTCTTCCCTGTTTACCTGACACAGAGTTCTCCCTAACCTGAGACCCAAGGTCCATTCTTCCTCTCCTCACTCCCTACCTCTGTCTAATAACCCCCAGCTTACCTTTGTAAATGGGGCTCACACAGCCTGAGTCAGCATAGTCTGTCTGTACTTGAAACTTGCCCCATTTCTCAGACACTGTAGGGACCCCCTTGGCTCTGGCCAATTTATTGCCATCCATGTGGCTCACAGAAGAATTGATGACTCTTGTGGTCACTGGAAATCTTAGAATCACTCAAACCTTTCATTGTATAAAGTTATATTAAGCACTGTTCCATACTGGATCACACTATGGTTTCTCAACCATTTAAAACTCTGTTTTTATATGGAAAACCAGCTATATCTATATGGAAATAGATGCTGAGGCGTTGTCTTAGTCACAGAATCTGCAGCTTGAATGGAATATAGCAACTCCCAAAGCTTGTGTGCTTGTGGACAATGCCAGGATTCAATCCCCATTTCTGTTGACCCATTCCACACAACTCATATTCCAAGACTGCTTAATGTCATCAAAACAGTAGTGTGTCCCTTTAGGGCACAGGTAGCTTTCGCTGTTGATATCACAGAACCTTGAGTCACTCAAAAGGGAAGACTCTGGGTGTGACTTGGGGGAATTATCTAGGCTAATTGAGATGAGAGGACCCATCTCATTCCAGGGGTTGAGGGGTCCTTCCAGAGGACCAGATTCCCAGCACCCACAACCGTCTGTAACTTCAGTCCCAGGGGATCTGAGGCCTTCTTCTGAGGCCTGGCTTCTTTTGATACCAGTCATGAATGTGGTGTACAGCCATGCATGTAGGCCAATACCCACACATATAAAATAAATAAATATTAAAAAATGCTTTTTAAAAGCTGAGCCTTGAGCACAAGGAGCCATCACTTGTGACTTCAGGCTCAGTGTGGCCCACTGGCTTCTTCTTCCTTCTGCCATGCCACTCCAATCAGGATGAAATTTATCCCCTGCCCCCCGAAAGGCAAAACAAACCCTTTCTTCTTTACCATGTTTTGTCACAGTGAGGTAGAGATAATTGTGTTGCTGTCCCAAAGTTGTCATCACAACATCCTAGCAACTTGAGGAAAGATAGATTGATTTCAGCTCACAGTTTGAGGTTACAGTCCCTCACGGTGAGAAGGCACAGGGCAGAAACAGTGACTGGACACATTGTATCAGTGACTGAACACACTGTATCAGTGACTGGACACATTGTATCAGTGACCAACTACCAGTAACTAAGCACATTGTATCAGTGACTGGACACATTGTATCAGTGACCAACGACCAGTAACTAAGCACATTGTATCAGTGACTGGACACATTGTATCAGTGACCAACGACCAGTAACTAAGCACATTGTATCAGTGACTGGACACATTGTATCAGTGACCAATTTACCAGTAACTAAGCACATTGTATTTGTGACTGGACACATTGTATCAGTGACCGATCTACCAGTAACTAAGCACATTGTGTCAGTAACTGATGTATCAGTAACCAAGCATATTGTATCAATGACTGGACACATTGTATCAGTGACCAATGTATCGGTAACTAAGCACATTGTGTCAGTGACTGGACACATTGTATCCACAGTCAGAAGACAGAGAGCCATGTCTGCTAGTGCCCTCCCAGCTCTCTTCTACTTAGCCCAGGATCTGAGCCTAGGGAATGTGCCACCCACATTTAGGGTGGGCATTCACATGTTAATTAATGCAATCTAGAAACTCCCTCATGTCTAGAGATTTGTCGAGGTGAATCTAAATCCCATCAAGTTGAAAATCAGTATGGACGATCACAGGTCTGTTTCCCAACTGTAGTCTGCTCTAGTGAAATGTCTGTTCACACTGGTGTTTCCAAGATTTTATTTCTTTAACCTTCTAAACGTCTTAACAGATGATAGAGAACACATGCCTACCTTTTAATTTCAGCTCTAAGGACCCAGTATAGGTTCTCTCACGTGATGAGCTAGCTAGTATATTCCCAGCACTTACTATTCATTCTTACAGAACAGTTTAGATCATTGTAAACATATCTAAATTGTCCTTAAGATGTATCTGATGAGCCCTCCACTAAATACTAAGTTTTATAAACTTGCTCTTTTATTTCATACAAGTTCCATGCATTTTTTATGAAATTTCTTTCTAGGTTCACCTATTCATTCAACAGTATTTATTGAGGACTTATATCCTGATCGTTATTCTGGTCTCCCGTGATAAAGAAGTGAACGAGAACCACATTCCTGGTGTGTGGAGCCTACATTTTAGAAAGTACAGAAAGACAATGAGAAACAAGGAAAAATAAAAATACTGGCACTGTGTCAGTGGAGAGATGAGCCGGGGAAGACAAATGCCAGCAAGGAGGTGGGATGGGGAGGAGAGCAGAGTTACACAATAGCTCTGGCCTATTGTGAACCGGTGAAAGCCTCTCTAGTGATGGTGATTTGGACAGAGGCTCAAAGACAGCAAGTGGGTGAGTCACATTGAGAGCTGTGGAAGAGCATTCTGGCAGGGGGATAAAGGACAGGAAACACAAAGGCCTCATGGCTCCGGTGTGCTTACCATGCAAGAGGGACAGACAACAAGGAAGCTAGTGTTTCTATGGGTTGATGCAAAGGGTTAGAGAAGTTATGGTCCAAGGCAAAAAGACAAATCTCAGAAAACCCTGCAGGCAGTGAGGATGAGCTCCACACTCAACTCTGAGGAGGCTGGGAAAGACATGAGTTGGTCTGACCTTAGGAAGGCTCCTCTGGCTGTTACATGGAGGACAGCTTTGGCAAGGGACACAAGGACAGAAGACCAGATCCTTCACAGGTCACAAATTGTCCTTACAGTGTGTGTCTTCCAACTGGTTATTACTGATGTTTAAATGCAGCAGTTAGTTTTGCTGTGTAACAAGCAACCTCAATGCCTCACTAGCTTCTAATAATGTTCATTAACTTTACACACATCTAGGGACTCAGCTGGGTTTTCCTATCTGTTGAACTTACGTGGACTTGAGTGATATACTTGCTGCTCACATACCTGAGATTGACTAATCACATCTGCCAATACCGCAGAATCAAAGCAAGTCATATGACTGATCAGTGACTGAAGGAGGCCATCTGGCCCACTGCTCAGAACTGTGGAAGATGGCACAGTCAAAAACCAGGGGCGTGGAGAGAACTGAGTAGTTAGAACCAAATGCAACCCCGCCACAATAGAAACTTATTAGCATGTTACCTTCTACCCATCAGCTCCCCACTTCCTAATTTTTTAATATTTTTTTTCTAGAAAATGACCTGGGATTTGTTGAAAATCAAAATTAAAAAATTATATACTATATTAAATTTTCTCTTGAGTAAAACTTTGTAAAACATCTATATTTTGTTCTTTATAGACATTCAAGTTTGTTTTAATTTCCTAACTTTTAGAAGCCTTCTTAATTTTCACTGTAGACCTATATAAGGGTGATTATTAATAGCAATGAAACAGAGTCAAGATTAGGTGGTCTTGAATTTTCCCCTACTAAGGAAATTAATCCAATACTCTTCTCTTTGTTTTTGTTTTTCAAGACAGGGTTCCTCTGTGTAGCTTTGGAGCCTGTCCTGGAACTCACGCTGTAGACCAGGCTGACTTCGAACTCATAGAGATCCACCTACCTCCTGAGTGCTGAGATTAAAGGTGTGCGCTACCACCACCCAGCTAATCCAATACTTTACAATTTAGCCTCAGTCAAATTTTTAGGATAAGGGCAGGAAGCAGCCACATCCTCTGCCAGAATTCACAAGTACGATCTCTAGCCCTATTGCTAATATCTGTTCCCTCTGAAGCCTCTTGAGCTGTGTCTCCATGGTCTGCATTGCTCTCAGTACTACCATCCTCCAAGATCCTACTAGGATGACCCATTAAGTCCTCTTCCCAGCATTTAACTGCTTTTCTAATCCAAAGTCCCAAAGGCTTTCACATGAAAGAGAGAGAGAGAGAGAGAGAGAGAGAGAGAGAGAGAATACAACAGTGGCCTACCCTGACACCAACTTTTGTCTAAATTTCCTTTCTTAGGTATTTTTCTATTGCTGTAATAAGACACCATGACCAAGGCAACTTACAGAAGAAGAGGTTTATTTGGGGGCTTGCAGTTTCTGAGGGTTACAATCTATGAACGTCGTGACGGAAGCATGACGGCAGACACAGGGCTATAGCAGCAGCTCAGAGCTCACAACTCGGGAGGCAAACATGAGGCAGAAAGGCACTGAGAATGATGTGAGTCTTTTAAAGTCACAAACCCCAGTGACACCTCTTCCAACAAAGCCACACCTTCTAATCCTTCTCAAACAGTTCCACCAGTTGGGGACCAAGTATTCAAACAGACAAAGGTGGGGGTCATTCTCACTCAAACCACCAGACTAATTTGGCATTATATATCCTTCCTTTATTTATTCTCTATTTGATTTAGATATATTTTATCACTTCTTTGCTCGCTCTGTGGGCTGCACATTGGTTTTATCTTCCACACAAATAGATCTACAATTGTTGATCTTTTGACAAGTAGAGCCCCACGCTTAAAACACGTTGTTCTACTGAGTCTTCATAGCACCCTGGGAGGTACTATAAGGGGTCTTTAAAGCATAGTAGTGATGGGTATAGACCTGGGCCAGAGAACCTCTGCCACTTGTATATTTGTGACTTTATGCATGTGGAGAGGATGGTAGTAAAATCTGTATTACAGTGTGTCTCCGTTGAGCCCGATCATAGAGAGAGGATCAGTAAATTTGTACATATGAAGTCCCTACAACAGTGAGGGACCCACTCACCACAATGGAAGTGGCTAATGCCCTTATCTGAGATGAGGAAATGGGGGCTTGAAAGGTCCAGTACCTTGAACAAGCTCACACAGATGCTCTCAGAACACAGCCTACAGCATCTTGTAAAATTTGTCTTGGAGGTCACTCGGTCACACTCCTTTTGAGATTCATTTACTTATGTATATGTGTATGTGGGGGGTTGTATATGACTTGTGTGTATATGTGTGTGTGTGCGTGCGTGCGTGTGTGTGTGTGTGTAGGAGATCAGAAGAGGGTATGGGGTCCCTGTCAGACATGGGTATTGGGAACCAAACTCTACTCATTCAGAAGAGCGGCAGGTACTCTTACCCACTGAGCCGCTCTAGCCCCTCAGTCGAAGGTTTAACGTCTCTGTCTTCAGTTCCATCTCTCCTTCGGTGAAGCTACTTTTGTTTTCTCTCTGCAGGAAACCCTTTGACTCTTTTTATATCCATGAACTTCTCTATGGAAACTCAGAAACTGTACCAGAAAGTGTTCAACTTTGGCTGTCCTTGGCTATTCCTGACCAGCATGAGGCTGGCTCATTTAATCTTGAGATCGCATTCTCTACTTAAATATTTTTTTTTTAAAAAAAAAAAAACCTTTTGGTTCTTTGACATCACAGGTACGTATTGTCAATGTTTTCACTCCTGATGTGCTCCAGTTGCTCAGCTGAGGTGGTCCTGCTGTTTCTCTGTGGCAAGGTGAATCATTTCCCTCCTTTCCCCATAAGATGTTCTTTGGAAGAAAGCCACTGCACACTGGGTGTTCTTGGGCAGTCACCAGCTGCTCCCTGCCCCCTCGATGACATCACGAATGGTTTAGAATTCTTACACTTGGGCGTTTGGCCTCCCAGTTTACCTGGTACCCATATAGATTAGTGGACACGCTGCATTTCATTTTATAATCTGATGATGTCTTACTTATCGCTCACATCACCCCAGGTTTGACCACCAAGAGCCTGTTGAGGTTGTCTTCTGTGTATCCTTTGAGTTCATCAACATGGCTTTTTAAATTTAGTAATCCCTCTCTTCCCCTCCCTCCTCTCTTCTCTTCTCTTCCCTTTTCTCCCCCCTTCCCTTCATTTTCTCCTCCCTCTACTTTTCCTCTTTCTCCCTCTCAGCTGTGAAGTATTTTATCACACTGTGTGAAGACGTGTCTCTGTCCTCCCTTGCCTACCTAAGGCACCTTCTGATGGTTTAATAAAGAGCTGAACAGCCAGTAGCTAAGCATGAGAGGACAAGCGGTACTTAGGGCAGAGATAGGAACTCTGGGAAGACTATGAGGTGGGGGATTCACCAGCCAGAAGCAGAGGAAGTTGGATGTAAGGTTTTGAGGAGAGGTAATGAGTCATGTAGCAGAACATAGATTAATTTAAATGGGTTAATTTAATTTTTTTTATTTTTGAGACAGGGTTTCTCCATAGTTTTTGGTGCCTGTCCTGAAACTAGCTCTTGTAGTCCAGGCTGGCCTTGAACTCACAGAGATCCACCTGCCTCTGCCTCCCGAGTGCTGGGATTAAAGGCATGCGCCACCACCGCCCGGCTTGGGTTAATTTAATTTTTAAGAGGTACTTGGGAACAAGCCTAAGTGAAGGCCAAGCTGTCATAATTAATAGGTCTCTGTATGATTATTTGGGAGCTGGTGGTCCAAAGAAGGACCTGCTACCCCTCTCTTTTTCTCTTTCTTGTGCCATGGTACTCTAGGCTCATATTGTCTATTATTTTAGCCCCAGCTCTAGAAGCTTCCATGCCTCTGAGGAATTCTAGTTCCATTTACAAGGAAATGGCATTAGACACCAAGACAGCTCCAGGCATGCTCACTGCCATTGGTGTCCCACTGAGACTTGTCTTTGGTGACTGTTCGAACATGGTTTCCTTTCTCTGACAACCTGCCCTCACCTTATTGATGCAATGTAGCAGTAAGGATTATAATTAGCTGGGAAACATATAGGGGCTGCTCCTTCAGAAGAGACATTTCACTGAGAGTCGTTTGCATTGAATGGTCCATTTAAACTGCTGAGTATTTTACACCTCTGGTAATGTTTAGCTCTGTTAACGCAAATGGGGTTTTGCTCAGAAAGATAATAAAATCAGTATTAGTGGTTGAGATAACCTCCAATTGGGAATTGTGTAAGTCAAAATAATTTCTCTCTGTCCTTAACAAGAAGAGAGAATAATTTACATGTGTACTTTAAATTTTCCCCCATTTGTTTGGGGAGGGCTGTGCACACACTCAGAGACAAAACTTATGTTAGTTGATTCTCTACTTCTATCCTGTGGCCTCTGGGACTGAACCCAAGTCTTCAGTCTCAGGGCCCCCAGCTATAGCTTAGCAACTTAGAGACTGAGGACGGGGGCATAAGATCTGACAACTCCGTGTGTGGAACGTCACCCGCTACTGTAGACGCTGGAGGCCGTTTGGCGCAGCTGCTCTCACAGGCCATATCATGGTCATTGCTGATCTCAAGGACTCTTTCTTTTCCCACAGGACAGGCTCTGCCCTTTGATGCCATAAGGACACAACTTAAGAGCAAGGTTCATGGTCCTACTTGGCTCAGCCTCCAGCATCTTCTTTGGGTACTTGAGGTAGAAGATCTAAAAACACTGAATTTTGTTTCTTTTCCTCACTTCCTCGTGACCTGATAGCGTTGTCGGGACCCTGGGGTTCTGAAGATGGCTCAGGTTTGGCTCTTAGCCCACCCTATAGTAGTGAGACTATGACAAGTTATTTGTGGGTGTGTACCAAGTCACTTCAAAACTAGAGATTTAAAACAACACCTGCTTACTGACACACAGTGTCACATAGTGTCACATAGTATCACATAGTGTCACATAGCGTATGTCTCAGAAATCAGCCAGGGCTCAGCTGTATTCTGTGTTTCGTGCCTCTCACAAGGCTGCACCAAGTTATCAACAAAGGGGGTGTGGTCCCATCCGAAGACCCCGTGGAAGCAGGACCTGCTCCCTAGCTTATGTGGATCTGGTTCCTCGTGGATTGCTGGACAGAGGACACCGAATCTTCTCTGAGTGTTGCCCGGAGGCTCATCTCAGTTCCTGTCATGGGCTTCTCTAATATGGCAACTGGCTTCATCACAGTGTGCCCACTGAGATGCAGTAGTGAGCATCGGCTAGTGGAAGTCACCGTCACCTATGCCCAGCACAGAAAAGACATCCCGCCACAGAGTCTGTCTCAGACTCCCAGGGAGGGGACTGCAGGAGTGTGGAACAAGCACAGGATGGGATCACATGGAAGTCTTAGGAATCTGCCCACTAGAGTTAGGGGTGGGACTCCATCTCAGAGTCTAGTGGGAGCATGTTTTCCTTCTGGTATGTTCTGGGCTGCTAGGAGGGAATATGTACAAACATGTGACTTAGTACACCTACTTAGTCTTCCACTGTGAACCTTATTTTAAATACGATGAACTTCAAATAATGGATTTTTTCGTAAGTTTGAAATATATAGGGAACTTGAAGTGACAAATTCCTGGGCTGGTGAGATGGCTTAGTCAGTAAAGTCGCGTGCCAACAAGCCCGATGGCCTGCGTTGGTGGATAAAAAGAAGTGGCTCCTGCAAGCTGTCGTCTCACTTCCGCAAGCCTCCCGTGGCAGGTGTCCCCAGATGCTCCCATAAGTAAATAAAAAAATTAGAAATTTTAAATTCCTTTTAAATGTTAAGCTCTAATAAGTAGTTTGCTAGCTAGTTAGTAAGTAAGTAAGTTAGCTAGTTATCTTTGAGACAAGACCTTACTATGTATCTCTGACTGACCTGAACTCACCATGGAGATCAGACTGACCTCAAATTCACAGGGATCTGCCTGCCTCTGTCTCATGAGTGCTGAAATTCAAGGCATGTTCCAGAGCTGATGTTAATTGGGCATTGCGAACTAGACTGGGGTCCTTTGGAAGAGCAGAAAATGCTTTGAATTGCTAAGCCAGCTTGCCAGTCTCTAGAATTTAAAATTAAAAAGTCCAATCTGTTGTTCAATAATAATTCTTTTAGCTGTTTCTATAAGCTAGCTCTCAACTTAGGTATCACCCATGCACTGCCTCATTATGAACCCCACATCAGGTCTAGGGGGATGGTATTTTAATCACCTGATAAGATACTAGAGGAATAGATACAGAGGGGAAACAGCTTTTCAGTGTCTCGCCATCCAGCACCCTACGAAACTCCCGCATGTTCCCACGAGTTGCTTGACTTGCTCGGTTGCATCTTCCATCCCAAAGGCTCTGTATCTGGACAGTGTTTTGGGGTTAGAGTAGAATCCACTTCCTTATCTCTCTTCAGATCTGCTGACTCCCTCTGGAGTTGGCCCCAAAGACAAACTTTTGGCCTTGTTTTCTATCCCTACCTCTCACTGTGCTCCCTTGGACAGACTGCAGCCCAGCGACTCCCCACCCACCCCCGCATTGGTTCTATCTCAATTGGGTTCAATAGATCAGGGAGACAAGAAAAAAAATATCCACAGTGGCCACAGTCACAATTGGGAGTTGAAGTCAGGATAGGTGGAGTGGATACCAGGATCTCAGAGCGAAGATGGGAGAGGCAGAAGGATGTGGGCATCTTTGACATTCCAGGATTTTACTTCACGGATGGAAACTAGGTATCTATCTCTGGTGATAGTCACTCCACCCCCAGTTTACCTGAGATACCACGTGCACTGTCTGCCTCGCCCACAGCTGAGCATTTTAGTGTGTGCCTGAAAGAAGGCGAGTGTTTCCCAAGTTGATTTCAGAACAAGATAGGCAAAGCAGAGAGTCACCCTGGTGTGTGTGATACCCAGTGAGAAGCAGACAGCGGGTCCCCTGGAGTGCTTGTACATGTTTCTCAGTAATCATGGGGACTCTCCAGTGGCCAGGATTCACTAGTACAGTCAGCTACTGGAGTTTCAGTTTGGCTCAACAAATACAGCATCTGCTAAGGATGCTAACACCGTCTTCCTTTAAAATGGTGGCATGAGTTTGTGAGTCTTCCCTGCCAGCAGTTCTCTCTGGTCAACTGAGTTGCTTTATGATCTGGAAAAGGCATTCCCAGTGTCTTTCAGGGACAATCTGAGAGTCTGGGTGAGTGTCTGTGGTCAGGAGCAGAGTATGTGTGGGACCTTGTACCTGTCGGACCTTCCAGCAACCCTTGATTCGACTGCGACCCTTGATTCAACTGCGCGTCCCTCCCTCTGGGAACCTGCTGTCTGCTGGGCTCCAGTTTCCCCATGCCCATTCTCTGCCAGTTCCACCTGCAGCCTCATTTCTGTGAGCTCTGAGGCTCCTTCGCATTTTTCTGGAACTTACAAACACTGTCCTAGGACCCAGTCCCAATCTCTCTGTTCCTCTCTGGGATGACATGAAGTTCTCACCCAGTCCCCAGTGTTACTCGGTCACATGCCAAAGATTCATTCATATGATGTCTCCTGTCCTGACAGCTTCATGGACTAGAAATTCGTGTTACAAGTATGTTTCGGTATGAAAATAGCTTATTTTCTGTATTTGAAAAGAGTCAGATCACTCTCCAACCACTAAGATATAACAACAAGATGGAAAAGAATTCTTTAATTCCATCACTGTATGTAAGATTCCATATATAAGCCAGGTGGTGGTGGTACACACCTTTAATTCCAGCATTCGGGCAGATCTCCGTGAGTTTAAGGCCAGCCTGGTCTACAAGAGCTAGTTCCAGGACAGGCTCCAAAGCTGTAGAAAAACACTGTCTCGAAAACAAAAACAAAAACAAAACAAATCCCAAAAAGCAAACAAACAAACAAACAAAAGATTCCATATATAGATGGAAGATTGCCCTCCTGACTGGGATCTGAGCCTAGACGCCCCAGGTCAGAAATATGGAGTAGAAGGAATTCATTTTGGAACCCTACCTCTTCTAGTGCCAAGGGACTGTGAGGGGAAGAGCAGAATGGGGCAGAGGGAGACACTGGCTGACTGTCTTCTCTCTCTGAGCCTCCATCCAGTCAGGGGAGATATGTTATAGATCTTGAGAAGATGAGGAGAGAGATTTTTATTTGTTTTGCTTTGAGGGCACCAAGAAGCAAATATCTTCCCCTCTAGTCATTGTACCACCCACCTGGGTATTGGGAAAGAGGTGGTAACAGCACACCTGAGTACATCCAATGGTGCAGTCAGACAGAGACAGAAGGGAGCTGAAGCTAGATAAAGCTTCATTAATTTCTCTGAATTGGGATAAGAGTCAGAAACCCATGTAACAAAGGGTTTCGAAACCACATCTAGGTAGAAAGTTAACAGACATCTATAGATGAATACTTTGCATTGGTATGGATCTTAGTCTACTGATACAAATTTAAGGTCGACTTTGTTACACTGCTTGCTGGTACACTGTATGAGCTGGACATGCAGGACGGACAGAAAAGTGACTGCTGAACTTTTCAAAGGATGGGATGGTCCTTCACGGTCCCTGCTTCACAGAAGAAACTGCCAGACATTCTGCAGGACATAAAATAAAGCAACTGATGAACTTTGCCAGTACAAGGCAGAACAGATCTTCAAGTTCCCTACTTCATGGAAAAGTCTGCCAGATACTAGGGGCCTGTAGGCTAAAGATGGATGCCCCAGTGTTACAGAAGAACTTTGGGTGGCTGTCCAGACAGCAAAAAGTATCTGTCAATTCTATAGTCTTGGGAAGTTGCTTACAATACACTTCAAAAGGCAATATTATGTCCTCTTGGAGTCTTTAATGGAGTTGAAGACAGATAGTTATAGTTTTTCCTTGCTTATGATAAAAGATAAATTAGATATAAAACTTTAGATTTACAAAGATAGGATAGATGATAGAATATTTTTCTTAATTTGCCAAATGTAAATGGACTAAATACTGTAACTATAATTCTTGCTTAATAACTGCTTTGTATATGTAATTTTACTATGTTAATATTAAAACCTTCCTTTTTAATTAAACATAAAAGGGGAAATGATATGGGATGTCCTTCTGTATATGTGTTGCTTTCATTGGTTGATGAGTAAAGCTATTTCGGCCAGAGGCTTAGCAGAGTAAAGTCAGGTGGGAAATCTGAACAGAGATAGATAGAGAGAGTAGGCAGAGCCAAGAAGATGCCATGTAGCTGCCAAAGGAGAAGGATACACCAGAACCGTACCAGTAGGCCACAGCTTTTTGATGATACACAGAATAATGGACATGGGTTAATTCAAGATGTAAGAGTTAATGAGAATCCTGAGATAATAGGCCAAACAGTGCTATAATTAATATAGCTTCTGTGTGATTATTAGGGTCAGGGTGGCCAGGAAATGAACAAGCAGTCTCTGCTTACAGATATCATATACAAGGGGCAAGGTACCTTGGTCTACAAACCTAGGAGCTGGTCCAGCTTGTATGGGGCTGTGCCAGTCAGGAATTTCCAGGGATTTCACCAGTCTCCATCAGATCACAGTAACCTCCCAGGTACAGCAAGAAATGTCAGAGGGCTGAGCAGTGAAGATCCTGAGTATGTGCAAGGAGAGGACCCAAACATGTATCACAACTCCTCCATGGGGTTCTGTGGGCACCCAGCAGCATAGGGAAGGAAGGAGGGCCAGATTGGACATTGGAGAGGTTGTGCCCTCCCTGACTGGAATATCCCAGACTGAACTAACTCTAGGCCCCTGCGCCCACCTTTTCCTAGTGGGCCAGGAATCATGGGACAATTCCAAAACATAGTTACAGTTTTGTACTTCTCAGATAATGTTTATCTTCAACTGACATAGGTACTACTTTGGCTTCTAACATGCTGCATTTTTAAAATGTGTAGCCTAAAAATATTTTACCATTTTCCTGAAAGGAAAATCCCAGTTTCCCTACCTCAGTCATGGTCACCACCACTCCCTGCAGCCTTAACGCCCACTTGGCTTCCTCTTTTCCCCTCAGCATGCCCCTCTCATCCAACAGCAACTTCTACCCTGACACAGGCAGGATCTTCTGCTTCTCTGCTCTCCACAGCAACTGTCCTTGTAAACATCACTCAGCGTACTCCCTGGCCTTCACTCTGGAGGCTGCTTCCACATACTGTGCCGTGAGCTATGAAAGAGAGATCTCCGGAGCTGGGGGTGACTCAGTTGGCAGAGTGCTTGCCTAGGATGCACGAAGTTCTCCATTCAAACTCTACTATCTCATAACGCTGGTGATGGTGGTACATGCCTCTGATCCTAGCACTCGGGAGGTAGGAGCTGGAGGATCAAGGCCATGTGAGTCCAAAGCCAGATTGGACCACGTGAGACCCTCAGGAAACAACAAAACCCCTTCTTTCTACAGACAGTCATCCCCATGATGGGCACAGGGCTTGCAGAGTGAGCAAGTCCTAGGTTTTGGCCCCTTCTTACCTGCTCTGCCTGACATGACTATGGGACTGAACCTACGACAGCACAGCCAGCAGACTGGGCAAGTCCTAGATCTTGGCCCCTTTTACCTGCTATTCCTGAACGCCTTGTGTGGAACTGAACCTACGACAGCCCAGCCAGAAGCCCTCCCCCGACAGGGATACCTGTGTAAACCAGGTTTCCTTATCCTGGTGAAGCTCCTCGGCTCAGAGGCCAAAGCTGCAGTTTCCCACCATGGCTTGCGGTGTCACACCTGACGTGGCCCCAGCTTCCTCCTCCAGCCTCATCAGTTCCCTCACAACCGGTCGCCTTTCCCACAAGATGATGCCCGTCCATTCTCTTTGCTCCTGCTGTTCTGTTCGGTGGGACTGGAATAAACAGCCTGGCTCCTTCCAGCCACTCAGGACTGGCTGAGATGCCGTGTCCTCAGGACAGACTGACCTAAACAGCACAGTTAATCCAATCCTCCTTTGGCACCCTCTATTATATTACCTGGTTTCTTTCCATAGTAACGTTTATCAGCCTCTAAAATCATTTCCCCATTCATTCATCTGTTTGTATTTCATTTCTTCCTCTTTTTCTTCCACAGAAGTAAAATCTCCAGAGTCAGGAAAGCGCCTGGCCCACTCTTACTTTCAGAGTCTTGAGCAGTGAACGGCACACATTGTTGGACGGATGCTCGGCTAAAGGATCCGTGGTTCAACTTGCGTATGCTGCTATGGTGCACATCTCCCAACAAGACCACAGGCGGCTAGCTGGCAAAGCCAAGTCTTTAGAATTTCTCAGAGATGCTATGACGTGCAGCGAGAGACACATAAACAGAAGGATAAATGCCAGGAAATGAAAAGCAATTTGCTGGACAGTGAACTCTGCACTTCTCATGCCCCCTGAGTTACACAACACAGCAGATTGATGCTAACACCAACACCAACGCTGGCGCTCATCCAAGGTCATGGCTCAGTCTTCCAGCATCTCAGAAGTTAAAAGGAGTTACATTATTAAGTGCTTGGAATATGAAACCATTAAAGAAAGTTTATTTATTTACTTGTATGTGTGTGTGTGTATGTACACGTGTGTGCACATGTGGACACCATGGCACATGTGAAAGTCAGAAGACAACTTGTAGGGTTCATCTACCATGTAGGTCTCCAGAATCAATCTCAGACCATCAGCTTTGGTGGCAAGTATGTTTAGCTGCTGAGCCATCTCACCAGCCTTATAAGAAAATAGCTTTTGTTTTGTTTTGGTTTGGTTTTTTTTTTTTGAGACAGGGTTTCTCTGTAGCTTTGGAGCCTGTCTTGGAACTATCTCTTGTAGACCAGGCTGGCCTGGAACTCACAGAGATCTGCCTGCCTCTGCCTCCTGAGTCCTGGGATTAAAGGCCTGTGCCACCATCAGTCAGCAAGAAAATAGCTTTAAAACTCATTTATGACTGAAGTTATGTTTCTTTTCAGTATGTCCCCTTGAACATTGTTTTTACAAAAAGAAAATCTCATTTTTATTTAATATTTACAAGTTTATTGAGGCTTATTAATTGAGCAGTACATGATATACCATGAAGAATGTTGCTACAGTTGTGAATGAGTATTTTCCCAGGCTGTGGTACTCTATAGGTATTTAGTATACATAGTTGTTTGGATGAAAAACACTATTTTAGTATACTTTATGTAGCATAAACAGTAGTGAAATGTTTTCTCCTTTCCTTGTTTATAGTGTCTGCATACAAACCGAGGGGTAATACTCCTTTTGGCATGTGTCTATTCAGTAAAGAGTCATTTGAGGTGTTGCTTGTCAGGACTGGATTTAAAACTAGAAAATAGCAAGTATTAAAGTGGTTGCTCGCTTTGACGAAGCACGGAAAAGAAACTCTTTTGGTTATCGTCTTTGTTTCTGGCGCCCCAGCTTTTTTTGTCTCAGCACCATTCATCTGCATCCTGTTTGTGGTTTGAAAAAAAATCTGATCACAGAGAATGATATAACTCATACTAAACAATCTTCTCATTTCAGCATCGAATATTCAAATTTCTAAAACAGTATTCATTATGTTACTAAACCCACAGAGTAGCCACTTTCACACGATTTCCCTCAACGTGAAGCCTCCGAGGAGGAAGCTGCTGGCCATGGTGGAGTCCCGTCATCAGCAGTTCATGGAACTAGGATGATGAGGCTGTCTATCGGGAGTCACTATCTTCTGTTACCTCATTCGCTCTTAATCTTCAAGCCCTGTGGTCTGAGGTTTCTCTTGCAGTTTCTTCTGTTCAGTTTAGGAAAAGCAGCAGTGTGGAGGACCAGCTTCATGACATCCTTTGAAATCTGTAACATACTAGCTAGCAAATTCTAAGGTCTGTTAAACGGAGGAATAACTGTATACTGGAAACTTGCCTGAGTTTCCTTCCTTCAGTCCTTCTCCCAATTTCCTCTCCCTCTTTCCTCTTTTCCAATAGTATTGTGTAGTGATTTCCTTTTAGATAAAACAGACCCTTCCACTATGCAAGAATGCTCCTTTATACATAGTAGGAGGTGAAATATTTCATCCCACTAAGCTAAACTCAGGAAGTAAACAACTCAGTGGTTTCAGGAAGTCCCTGAAACTGACCAGATTCACTAGGTCCCTCCTTCCTTTCCAAAGTATATGGAAGCAGTAAGACCTCCTGAAAGACACTCTTAGGCCAGCCAAGGCACCTGAAAGAGAGACCAGCCCACTACCTAAAAGACTCTCAGACAACCTGAGCTGTTTAAAAGAGGTTCCAATCAACCACCTAGAAGCAGTGTGCAGCCGAGCTGCGAGGCAGAAGCTCAGACCACCTTCAACCTCTTGAGTTGCCTATAGGTTGAGCAGGATCTCCAGGGGTGCATCTTTCCTGAACTGTTTCCCAGGCTGGGTGGGCTTCTCAGGAATGTGCCAGGCTATTGCAAGTGACCCTGATAAATGCACTTGTTTGCAAGTTAGACGTGCGCAGAATAACTGCATTCTATCATTTATGGGGCGAACAGGTATTTGTTCACTTCTCCCCAGACATGGTTTCTGTCTCCAAAGGGATGAGGTATTTGTCTGAAGAGAAATGGCTAGATTGTGACCAAGCCTAAGCTAAAACTCAACACTTGCTATACCGGGTTCACTATGATTCTCCATTGTCCCTTTTATTTAACTTTGGCCATGTAGATGTGCGGCTACTATAATGTAAAGGTTAGTGTCTTAGTCAGGGTTCTGTTGCTGTGAAGAGACATCATGGCCACAGCAACTCTTATAAAAACAAAGCATTTGAGTGGGGTTGATTTACAGCTACAGAGGTTTCCTCTATTGCCCCCATGGCAGGGAGCATGGCAGATTACAGACAGACATGGCAGCTGGGAGTTGTACTTCTGGGTCAGAAGGCAGCAGGAAGAGAGAGACACTGGGACTGGCTTGGGCTTTTGAAAACCCAAAGTCCACCCCCAGTGACACGCTTCCTCCAATAAGGCCACACCTACTCCAACAAGGCCATACTTCCTAATTCTTCTCAAGGAGTGCCACTCCATGGTGACTAAGCATTCAAATACATGAGCCTTTGGGGGACATTTTTATTCCAACCACCACAGCAAGTGACAAGCTAACTCTAGGTTAAAAGCCCCATTGCTCAGTGTGGTTGGTTTTAGGAGGCCCTTGCAGTGTCCTGAGTTACTCTTTGCAGGAAGAAGATGCACAGAATGACCACGCTGAAGCACAGGAGCATTTGGAAGAGGTGCACTCCACTCTCAGTCAAGCAAATGTGCAACTTAAGCCCTGGAGTCGGTGCCCAGGGGCTCACACATCAGCAGGGAACTCTTTCGGACTTCCATTTCGTGTAACAAGATGAGGTGCAGCAACTTCTCAGGTCCTCCAGCCATCTGTGGACGTGACTGAGGACGGCCTGCCGGCCTTCCTTTCCCACTTCACGCCAGTGGAACAGGTCATTGCAGTAGAGAAGCTTCCTGCTTGGGGTGTCACACTCGATTTCATCTCCATGGCTTTGGCAGACAAATTCCTGTACCCAGACACAGAAGCTGAACCTGAAATCTCATGGTAGGCTTGTCAGTAGAAGAGGTGAACATTTGAGCAGTTACAGAGGCTTTTCTGTGTGATACTTCTGAGAAGGAGGAGGAAGGTGGTTGGCATCTGAGGAGAGGATCACTGTGCTGAGGGGCACAGGGCACACCGTTAGGTTGCTAAACACCAGAGCCAGGCTCTATACACTTGGAAAGTTCATCAGGACTTGGTCTCAGGAAGAGAACTTTTTTGACACAGTGTGGTCAACACAGAACACACATGCCACACTTTGACCTCAGAGATGTACTTTTGGTTAACCACAAAAAGTGAGCCCCACTTCCTCCTCAAAGTCCTCCTTCAGTGATCTGTTCAACTGTGACAGGCCTGAGGAGACCGAACAGATGAGGTCAGCTGAGGTGACTGGCTGGCCCAAGGACGCCATGAGACTGTTGACAGTCTACAAGTCATTTCACTTTTTCTTATGCTAATAAGCCACACCATAATAGATTTTCAGAGGCTCAGATGACGCAGGGTAAATGTCAGACTGCCACTTGGGTGCCTCTTGCATTTTCCTCTATAATACAGATGTGTCAGGAGCAAGTGAGATCTTGAATCCATTAAGCCTCCTAATGTTGCTTGATATACGGTAGTGATGTATAACTACATGTAATTACAGTGCTCTTTTTGGTAACATACTTTAAGATCATCAAATGAAAGGCATTGGTACTTGATTTATGGAAAAATACAGAATACATGATGATTATATGCTCTTTTAACCTTTCACACATCCTCTCTGTGATTGGTTTTGAAAATTTGTTCTGCTTTTCCTAGGAAAGGTATTGGGAAGGCTGAAGGACTCCCATTCACCCACAGTTTCTATCATCTGTCTGTCTGTCTATCTATCTATCTATCTATCTATCTATCTATCTATCTATCTATCTATC